GGAGGTTTATCTGAAGTGCAAGTACCAATAGGAAAATTTACAGTTATGGAAGATACAGTAGAACAAACAATGAATGATACAATTACATTAAATTATGCACAAATAATGGAACCTCGATCTATATTTATACATAATACAGATAAAGAAACTACTTCAAATATAGATCAAACAATTATTCCAGATATAGATAAAACAATTACTCCAGATATAGATAAAACAATTATTCCAGATATAAATAAAGCAATTAATTGTTAATTAAATATCGATTATGTATTAAATAAATATATATAAATAAATATATATATTTTATATATTACAGATTAAATATTTTTATGTAAAATAGAATATATTGAAAATATATTAGAAAAAAGAATAGAATATATTGCTCTTATAAAAGAGAATAGAATATATTGCTTCATTATCATACTGATATATAATATATATATATGATGATTGAAAATACTAGAATTGTTTGTAATACGTACATTTTTTGTAGTATTGAAGTGTAGAATTCTTGATATGAGCAATTATCGTTGATTGAATTGGAATTATTAAAGACTTCAATAAAATTTTATTGTACATTGCAACAATAATGAAGTAAATTTCATTTAACTTTACATAAACTGAAAGACGTATTATTTATAAATAAATTTTATCACGAACGACAACTTTGTATTCACTCTATCGTTAATTTTGATCAAAATCAAAATCACTAACTTTAAAATAGAAATTATATCACTTTTACAATCACTTCTACTTTATTTTAAAAATTTTAATAACTATGGCCGTCAAATCAAGCTTGATCGAACCTTTTTTCTTAGTCTCGTTTTGATTGGTTGATTTCGTTCCACCAATGAGATTCAAATGCTTGAAATATTGGATAATTGAAATCTTACTATAATTCGCTTATTCTTATTCTTAGAAACATGGAATATATAATTTTATAGAAATATAAATATATTTTTTTTAATAAAAGAATAAAAATTACTCAAATATATAATATATACAATATATATATCTTATGATTATTCTGTTAATAAATTAAACAGTTTACGTTAACTTAATAGATATTTTTTAATCAACGTAGTATATTGATATATTGATATAATATAACAGTACATATAATGTGAATTAATAATATTAAAAGAAAGAAACTTTGTCTTTAAAGTTTATGGAAGTCATGAAAATTAAATTTTGAAGAAGTATTTTTTGTAAAAATATACATGTATATATTTATCATAAAAATTTTTCATATTTTATTTTATGATTTATATTTTCCATATTTAACGAATATGAAAAATAATAAATTGATTGATAATGCGTCGATTAATCTTCTTTTATTTTTATTTATTTTTTTTTTCTTTCTATATTTATACGAATTTGATTAAAAATGATGTTGCGCAATAAAATCAAATAATTTTGCATCTATATTTTATTATCAATCAAAAACGAAATACAAATTGAAATTTGAATTTAATCGATGACTAACTAATTTATCATCGTACGATATCGTATTATGCAATTAAATTTTGCTTTCATATTTCCGGCATTGTCGAACCATTCATCCTTTGGCAATGAATCTAATCACGAGATATCTGAGATTAATTTCAGGGTAGTAACGAACGCAATAGGGATTAATAGAAAGCAGCCTGTATGTAATTTACTTCAGAGAGTGGTCATGTATTCGTATAACTGTTCCAGTTGTACGATTAATAACACTTGCTCAAAGAAAATGGCAATATTCTCTTGAAAATCTAGACTTAATATTCCTTCATCTGGCGTTCTTTATCTCTCATAATCGATCAATTAAAGGACCAAGCAAAATGAAATACTATAATTAACTTACAACTTATCGTAGAATCTTCGTCTTGTTTCTCTCTACTTTCCTCTCTTTCTCTTTCTTTTCTCTTATTTTCTCAAACTCTCTGATTATAGAACTATTTTTACTCTACGTTACATCCTTTCTTTCTGTCACGTCTCGTTTCAATACTTCATTAGCCATGGGTAGCTTGTATAAGATGAAGATTAACTCGATTCACAGTCGATTCTGGCGCCATAATACTCACTATCTCCGTGATATTTTTGATATCATTCTCTTTTGTAACCACAATCTGTTGCCATCAATTTCGAAAAACATGTATCACGTGAAAGGAAAAGGAAACGAGTCTCATAAAGTTCGTTCCATCGTTTGATCGTTCCCAATATTCGACATCATTTTCCGTGTATCGAAACTAGAGATGTCGATAATTTCATAGATAAGTAATATTTCCGATTATATAGGTTGCAATCGTATACATATATCGAATGATACACGATTCCTGACACGATGATATATATACACATGTATTTGTGCACTCGTCTATCAATGAAATTTAACCCGTTCTTCAATTACGAACCTTTCAACGTACGATTCTATAATACAGTTATTATTTAAACATTGTGTCCACGACACAATTTTCGCATTTCCTTCTTCTCTGTAGAAAGATAAAAGGCCAACCAACCGAGGTAATCATCGCGGAAAACAACGTAACAGTGTAAATATTTACGCTGACCAAATAGAGGAAGTTTGATAATTCGTGTAATTTCATCTTTACATTGTCTTGTTTTGTCTCTGTATAACTTTTGGAAACATTTCATTCTTTTTTTCGATTCACACGTAATTTCATGCATGATTTTATACATTGCTCGACATTCATTCGATCGATTTCAATCTCTTCTAATGATTTTATTGAATATTGAAATATAGTAGTAACTGTCAATTTCAAATTGACCAAAATTCTTTGAAGAGATGCAAACTCATTAACTTATTACTGTAACCTATTAAAACCATTCGAATATTTCAATTAAAATTAAAATTTTCGAGCCCATCTCACGAATACTTTAACGATTTTCCAGTTTGAAAATGAAGATGCAAAAACATTATTCTTTTAATTAAAGGATGATTACAAAGGAATAACTTTGATATTCAAAGGTAATTAAATCATCCAAGATCTCGTTTGTAATATTTTTGAGAATGCGAAACTTATAAGAAAATTATGAGAAAATTTTTCTTGTAACCTGTAACGAAGCGTTCGATTTCTCGAAGAGTTCAGGAGGAAAATTACGAATACTAAAACCGAATAGCCATAATATAATATAATATCCACTAAATTTACGGGCAGAGCAACATCCTGATAGACACTGGTAGCTCTATCATGAAAAAGGTTGCTCATAAAGCACGCTCGATTCCAACATGTTTAACGATCTTCTTCCTGTTAATAAAATCTGCTCTCGAGAAAAAAAACTTTTGCCAAACTACCACCAACCTAAAAATTTTTTACTGTTATGCCTTGTCGAGGGTTAATAAGTCGTAACATTCATCAAACAGTTATCAATTCTTAATAAAAAAATCTTTTTCTGATGGAATTTTATAAAAACTTTTATAAATACTTGAGTTTCCATTCGAAATTTTAATTCTTACCAAATATTCTTTCTGATCTTATGAATTTTTATGGAAATATTCAAAATTTTCTTAAAATTAATGATATTAAATGATTTTTGATTCTATAACTTGATTTCGAGCAATTTAAAATGTTAAAAATTACTTTTTGTTAATAATGCAATCTATGTTTCCATTTTCGATTTCAATTCATATAGATGCAATATCAAAACTTATTTTAATATAATGACTCAAATTAATAATTATTGTAAACGAGAAATGTATAATTCGAATAATTTCGATATTTTTGACCATTTATATCATACAATTTGATATTATCATCGATCTTCAAACAATTATTTGAGAGTTGTTTAAGAAAAAAATTCACTAGTCCATCATTGACTTCGATACACCGCGAGATTGCATTCCTTTAAACTTAATTATCCTTCGCACGGATTTTATGCTCAAATGGCTTTCCACAAGAAGCGAAGATCGATTCAATCTCTTCACAGATTGCAACATGATACGAATCTCATGTAAATTCGCCAAGTATCCGGACGAAAGGACCAATTGTTCGAGGGTGGTGTGCGCGATGATTGCGTCTATATCCGTGAGTTGGTGCACGTCGTGCAGTCAGGAAGTTGGCCAGATTGAAGGTTTCCAGGTCGTTCCAGGTAACCTTTCCTTCATCCCATTATCGTGGTGCGTTCGCGCGTACCATCATCGTTGTATTATAAAGGTTCATATTGTATATCGTTACAGTGACAGGCGATAATTCATTCGCAAGTTTTCAGTTCTCGAAGAGAAAATTATTCTTCGAAATTCGTAAGAAAAGAAAGAAAGAGAAAGAAAAAAAAAAAAAAGAAAAGAAAAAGAGGATCCTTCGAGGAAGAAAAATTGATTTTGAAGAAAAACTTTGCCTTGCATTTGTCAAGATTTTGATTATGGCGCTATTCAATTATAGATACAAAAATTGGCCATAAAAATTGATATAAATTTGTAGCGATATGAGGGAAAACGTGTGCTCGCACCGGAAGTACGGCATAAAGACGCCAGAGACGGCGTCGTAAATTGAAACGAATATTACTGTAAAACGTTATCGATACCTCGTATCGTATCCGTTTATGAACGATGGTTATCAGCGATCCCGTTTCAATAAACAACCGGAAAAACACGCTATTTGGAGAGGAAGGAAGTTAAAAATGTCCGACGCATCGACAGATTCTTCTCGCGTTCTTTTCCCCCGTTTAAGATAAGTCTGTTTTAGAATATGACCTTATTCTAAGGAAGACGACCCTATTCCTCGAGACGGAAAAATATTTCGGTCGAATAAATCAATAATCGCGGCACGGGGTCATCGTTAAAAATAGTTGCCGAGTAAAAAAGTAATTAACAAATGGATCGTTTCTTATCGACATCGAGGGGTTGGAAACTGTGTTTACGCAACCTGATATTTATATGGTTCTCTCGTTCGAGAGTGTTTATTAAAGAGATATCTCAATTAGTTGCACGGTAGATGTATGATTGGCTTATTTTGGAGAAAAGAAATTAATTAAACGTGAAAAAAAAAGTATAATTCGAGATTAACTGGTAATGATGTGAACTAACAGGATATAGTTTTGAAAGGAAGAAAGAACGATTTCATATCCTTCTGAAATGATTTACGATGGAAACGAAAAACGAGACGTTAGAAAGATTTATATTGTAAAGTGTACAGGATTTGCCAGTACACCTCGATATTCGACGCGACGAGTTGCATTAGCGCAGTAGCAAAAATGTAGGGAAAGAAAACACGATTGGCAAGATATCGGTGGCGATTTAAGTAATATTTCTCAGAGATTTACTGGAAATTGACGTTCAGAGTACACATTGTGGAAGAAAGTAGTCGGTTAATGATCCCACAACTCAATTTCGACGTTTTA